ACATGCTCGCCCTTTCAGCCGTGGGGGCGTTAAAATGTGACGGTCAATCCCACTATTCGTTGGTAAAAGAGTAGCCCAAGAGTTGGCGGTGGGTGGTGATGACTAGCTGACCTTCCCTCTAGTCTTACACTGCTAAATTAGGACAGCTAGCGCAGATAGCCCTCGTGTAGCTTTGCGCGAAATTCAAAACAAACAAACAAACAAACCTTGTTCATCCTCTGATTTTATTTAAGGTATATGAAAAAAAAAATAACAAATGTGCTTCTATGATTTTTGAAAATCATTCTGAAAGTTTCTAGTGTAAGTTAAAATTATTAGTATTTGTTAAAACTTCATGATTGTATTTTTGGGCAACAGTTATGTGCATAAAGATTAAGTTTTTTGTTCATTTGATAATTTAACTTCCAAAACTTTATAATTAATGAGGTATTTAACCTTTTTTTAAAGCATATGTTATATGTGTTTGATTATTCAGCCACTGTCTCAAGCCAGATATACAATATTTTAGTTTTTAAGAGGAAACAAATTTTGTGCATCAGTTAAGACAATTTTTTGTGTTTGATTCTTTATTACAAAATATATTTATTTACAAAAATTTTCTTTCTTCTCAGTGCTGGTACTCGGGCCCTTTGTGTTGTCTGTTTCTTATTTGTAGTAACTTGGATATTTGGTATGTTGTCATTTATTGATTTGGGCCTTGACTATGAAAAGACTCCAGATTTCACTCCTATTTTCCAAATCATGAATTCATTGCTTGTAAGTAAAATTTAAAAAATTTACATTTGTTAAAGTATTTGGAAGCATCTTAATGTATAAATTAAAAGTAATAAAAATAGTTAAAATATTAAGTTAAGAAGAAAAGAGCATGTGTTAAAAGAAGTTTGATGTTTCTTTTGAATTTCAGAACATGTTTTTTAAGTGTTTTTATTGACTTTAAAATATATATTCCAACCTGTTTCCATAATTAGTGAGAATTATTGAAATCATGTTAGAGAAATTAATTATAAAATGAAATAATACCAAAGTGTCAGAATTTTTCTATTTAACCATTCTGCTTATAATCTTTATAGAAACTTAAGATTCTGTTTTATGATTTATAACTCAAGAGCAGTTACTACATAATTTTGTTGCTCAATTCTCTGTCAATGTCTTATTCATTTATCAGCTTTAACATATTTCTTTTTCTTATAGCCTTTTTAATTTTTATGTTTGTTTTGATGCATGTTTCATTCAGGATTCTTTCATTGAGCAATTCATCGTACACTTTAGTGAAATTGCTTTTTTGTATATTTTACTTGTTTAGTTACCCTTGTTTTTAAGTCTGCATGTATATATGTATATATATATAATTACACTGGCCAACAACAAAAAAAACATTTTCTCTGCTACTAGAAAAAATGCAACTGTTTCTGAGTTATGATAGATTTATTCAAAATATTCTCATATATCATGAAAATAACTTTATTTCTTCATTGAAAATTGCATTTAAGAATGTATAATCTGCAAGCTTTGATAAGTTTCTTTCATGTTCACAGCATGAGCAACAGGAATCGGTGGCTTAGTGTTACCATTGTGCAAATATACAGCTTTCAGACTAACTTTAAATGAGTTGATAAAAAGTCTTCTTGAGGATGATGTTCTGTACCTAAATCTTCCATTACTGCATCAACATTTGTATATAAACACAAACTATCTTGCATGCTGTAGTGAGAAGCAAGACTCTGATGGTGACTTCAGTAAATTGAAACTCTTGTTCCTGGAGCTAATAAGTTCCATTGCTATAAATGAGAGCCAAGTAGTTCTCTATGCTGCTTTGATAGAGGCAAGTCATGAATCAGATCATTTAGCTTTTCTTGTGTGATCAGATGAGGCAGGTTATGTTGAGGTACCACAGTGACAGAATTACTAGATGAAGATGATTCATTGTCTTCTCAGGATAACTGTTCTGTTTCCCAATTTGCTGGTGTATGTGGCACTGGAAGACCATCCCCATGAGGTACTAGTTTCAGTGCAGATGCAATATCTGAATATTTAATGTATTACTTAGTTTTTACCTGAATATCCAGAAACATTTGTCATGCATAAATAAAAGTCACTTACATGATCTTTGGGCTCACATCATATCATGGGAACTGTAAAGGGCATACTTGCTCTCTTCTTATTCAGCCACTGTCTCAAGTCAGATATACAAACTGTACAACACACATGTGGAGCCCAGTATTTTTCTTGGTCACCAATTTTACACCCAAAATAATGGTAGAAAGCTACCTTTACCTTGTGTGTGATGTGTTTCTTTCATGAAACTGTAATATATTTTCTGATATGATATCTTAACTCATTTCACAAAATAGCTTTTATTGATTAGTACTGCACTCTATTGGTGCAAATATTCATTGCTTGCCACTAGTCTTCCAGCTCCTGCTTCTGAATATCCACATGTAACTGATTATGCAGCATCTCTCCACCAATAGGAGTGCAACACAACCCGTTAAAACCAGCACCCTCTCCACATTTGCACTCGTTAATCACTTCTTGATTGACAGTAGTACTGTACGAATGTGCTTGTTTTTGCTCTCAAATTCATCAAAATTTTCCTTTATACTACAGAGTTAGTTTTTCTTTACTACATTTTTGTTATTTTTTTATTTACAGGAACCTTTTTGCTAGTGCATTGTGGATCCCACTCTGTGGCGAGTGGTGCCTAACCAGGTGTACTTTTTTATTTAAAATCCACACTGTCCATCTTGTGACCATGCCCGATGTCAATTATGTTTTAGCTCTTCCTACCACGGACCTGATGTACAATTCCAGATGCCACCAGGTGTTGGTTGCGTGTCTCCATTCAATTGTCATGTGTGCCGAAACAATTACGTCACAGGATTAGGTTATGCACACCATAGAGATGGGGTATTTCCTAGGACTGCTAGTAGTTCCCTCATGTGGACGTTTGCTTCATAAATATGTTCGTTCCAGACCATACACTTATGGACACACATGAGTAAAGCAGACAGGGATTGCTGCCCATCTCTGATGCTCCATGGCATTGAGACTCTTCCTACCACAGACATAATGTACAATCCCAGATGCTGCTGGGTGTTGATTGATCAACTCTGTCGATGTGGTAGCTCTACTTTTCACCTTGTTGCACTGTCTCTGGTGATGGGGTTCTTTGGACTCTCCAACACGTTTTTCTCTCCTTTATTCTTGTGGAGTATGGGGGTCCTTGCTACTTACCTGTTCCTAGCCACTGGGATGGTGGGTCATGGAAGCCTGTCCTCCTGAATTATACATCATACTACTCAGTTGAGAGTAGGACAGTGGCATTCTATGGGTGTTGATGGCATATAGCACTTCCTACCACAGACCTGATGTACAATTCCAGATACAGCCAGGTTTTGGTTGTAGCGCTACACTGTATTAATGTACATATGTCTGACAGATTGCTTTTTCCCACGGTGGCATTTCTCCTCCTTCCCAACCTCCAGACCTACATTCCCGGTGGGGCTGGTGTTGGTTGGAGATGGCCCGGTCATGATTAGAATCATGTGTTGATAGCATGATTCCCTTCCTACCACAGACCTGATATACAATTCCAGATACTGCCAGGTTTTGGTTGAAGCACTCTGTTATGTCACAAATATATATAATTATATATATATATATATCTTGCAGTTTGCCCCTCAGGCTAAGATATTCCTCCTACCTACCATCCTCCGTATATGGTTTATGGAAGTCGGAGATTTTCCAACCAAGAAAGTCCTCACATATGTTCTGGTTGGTATCCCTCCTTCTGCCACAGACTGGATGAAAAATGTCCAATGCCACCAGATTTTGGACTGGAGATGCACCTGAAGTTTGCGGCCCAATTCCTACTGTCTGCTGGATGTTGGTCCCCAATCAATCCCATGCTGGTCGTAGCTGGATGCAGCACACATATTCCCACTCGTGTACAGCTGGGTATTCTCCTCCTATTACAGCCTAACAGAACCATACACAATGCAGGAGATGCCATTCCACCAGGGCTTTCCTCCTTCCTACCATCCACCGAATGTCGAATCATGATGAATCAGTGTTGGTTAGGTTGGAAATGCATACAAATGGAGATGAATTTGAGTACAGAAGCTTGTTTTTCCTACCAATTTCAGTTTCAAGGTGAAGAGGTAGGTTATCCTCTGCCTACTGTGGAACTGTTGTACAATTCCAAATTCTCCCAGGTTTTGGATGGGGTCAAACAACCACTACTGTCTGTCATGCCCTAGCCACTTGACACCCAGGTATCCCATTAATCAGTAATACATATTATGGGATTCCTTCATGTTTTTCCCCCTTTTATGTTTGTCACACAGTTATAAAAGAGTGAAGAGTATATCTGGATCAGATGTGGTGTGGTCTCCTGCTAAGGTGTGATATTATATTTTTTGGTTCCACATCTCATGGTCTCTTTTTGGGTGCTTCCTAAACGGGTATCATTTTTTCACTGGCCCTCGACCAGTTCAATGTGGGGTTCTAATTATTTTGTGAGAGGAGGTAAGATATCATATTGGAAGTTAACATTTTCTTAAATGAAAATGTATTTCCGGTGATATGGGGGTGTAGATCTTCTGACCAATCTCAAAGTGATTAACGAGTGCAAGTGGTTAAGATAGAGGTAATGTCACACTCCTATTGGTGGAGAGATGTTGCATAATTATTAGGTGGAAGGCTAGTGGTAAGCATTGAACAATTGCACTGATAGAGGGCAGTACCAATTGAGAAAAGCTATTTTGTGTGGAAAAGTAAGTATCTATAGGAAATATCTCTTCAGTTGAGAAAAATATTAACTTCCACAAATGCAGCAGAAACTGTTTAGATGCTTTTGCACTTTTGGTCTTTACTTGAACTTGAGGTAGCCAGCATTTCAAATGATTTTCTAAAAAATATAAGAATTTATGTTTATAAAACTAGATTTTAAAATATTTAAAAACAAAGTTTTGTAGAATTTGATTATATCGTGGGTATGATGTGATAAAGTAGATTGGACTTTGTTTTGACTGTGTGTGCAGCAAAGCTAAGTGACCAACCGAGTGAGAAGGAGGTGACTTCACCCATTTATGCTCAGTCAAGGGATTTCTTGAATGTTCTGGAAACTGAGCATGTGGGGGTTTCATGCTTCCTGGGCTGAGCAGGTGAGCATGGGAATGAAGCAAAAGTGGTGCAATTAGCTACAATTATATAAAGAACAAATAGCATATATTAACAATATATTTGGAATTTTACACCAATACAATACAGTCCATGTTTGAAGTTATCAAAAACGTATGCCTTTTGCCCATTAAACTGTCCAAGTAAATTTAATTTCACAGCATAATCTATTGTACTGAGTTAATTGCATGGTATTTCACATAGTGCTGATAAAATATTGAAATATTACAATAACTCAAAATCTAGAGGTGATGTACAAATTCTGACTACATTTTTGAAATCAACACCATCAAATTACCCTGAATCAATCGAGTTTTCTCCAGTAGCAAATTTTTTGTTTTCCAGTGTTATCAAAACAACTTTCTGTTCTTTCTGTAACTTTAAATTGAAAAAAATATACAAAAGCATTTTATGTTTGTTTTTTTAGATTAAGTATTAAAGGTTCGACAGCAATTATTCTTTAATTGATAGAGAGCTCAGAGAAAAATGTTGAACATTAAACTAATAGAATCACTTTTTTTTTTACAGGGAGTTTTTATTGTAGTGATAATGGGCTTTGGATCACCCCATTTCCGTAGTGCTCTTTGTAGCCGAGGAAGATCTGGTGGGGTAGTAAAGGTAAGATAAGCAAGATTTGGTTAAGATAATGAATTAAGATGATAATTAAGCACAAAGCAAACATTAAGGTGATAAAACTTTAAATTATAATTTGTTTACACAGATTAACTAAGAACATTAGAATTTTATTCTTTGGGCTAGATAACGTTTTTAATTGGCCAGGCATAACCTAGTGATTAACATACTAAGCTGTAGATTGGAAGGTTCAATTTCATAAAACTTCTAAACATGCTCTGCATTTTGAGCTGTGAGGATATTATAGCTATGACAGTCATATTTTTACTGTCCTCTTCTGGTCATCAGTTCTATATTAGAGATGGCTATGCCTGAACTTTAGTCTTTGATCTAGCTTTTTTGTGTTGCATAAGGTGTTGTTTAGACTGAAAATAGAAATGCTTTTTTGTGTGAAATAAATTAGGGGTAAAGTTTGTTGTTGTTGTTGTTTTTTAATTATTTATAACATATTTTGGAGCAATAATTTTGTTTCTTATACTTTGGAGTATTAAGGTGCTAATAGAGGTGGACTTAAGCAACCTTATATTCAAGATGAAGAAACCTGAGTAAACTAGTATATTCTCTGAAACACATTATGTGAAAAGTATTAGAGAATTACTGATATTATGTATTTTGTTTTGTCTATTAAAATAGTTGCAAGCATCAAGAACCTTAATGTTATATAAAGCTAACATATTCTCATAGTAGATGTTATCTGTATCTTTACTGATTGCTTTTAAATATGAATAAGATAAATTTTATATTTTCTTTAATATCAAATTTTATCCAAAATTGGTTGCCTTCTTATAAAATAAAACAGCTTTAAATGTTTACAAATGTATTTTCAGAGAAACCAGGTAGATCCATTTGATATGCATGATAAAGCCGAGATCCCCAAAACTAGGAAAACATGTATGTATTGGTGAATATTACCTATAGGAAAGCCTTTTATATAATTTGGATAAAAAGTTAAAATTCCAAATTTTATTGTCATTATTACTGATCTCTTTCCTTATACTTTTATAAGCTGTACATAAAGTTGGTTTTTGAAAAACACATTTTAACTTATCTAATGAAATGATCCTTTTCATAGAATTTAAGACTGTTTTAGAATTATATTCAATTGTAAATTCAGTATCCAATTAGTAAGAGTATTTTATTTGTCCTATAATACAGTTGCAGCATGATGATTACCAAATCTCTTCGATAACAGATGAAAATGGACCGTCCTTGGACTTTCTAGTGCCTTTTGTCAGCAGTTAAAATTTTCTGATTAATTTGTGTGCCTTTTTTGTATTTCTTTGTAAAGAATACCTTTCCTAACTACTACAAACATTTTGTCTTTGTTTTATCTTTTTAAATTACTTTAAAGAGTTTGATAAATATAGGAAATCCTAAATTCTAATATTTATTTACATATTTATAAATTTGGTTTTTAGTTATTCTTTGTTGTACAATTAAATTTGAAATATGATTTTCTTTTAGTACTTTTGTACTTTTAGATTCATCATTATTCTCTATTTAAATGCATGTTTATTTTTGTTGTATCCTTCTGTTTGTTTAACATTATTCCTTTTTATTTAATGTTTATTACTGGAACATTCCTGTGGTACTGGAAAGGTATTCTCCTTTCATAATGTCATTTTAAAGTTTTTCTTCTATACCAAACCAAATATTTCTTAGAATAATGATGAACAAAAATATTCATAAAATAGTAGTCCATTACTTGAAATACTTAGTAAAATAACTTTTGGTAATTTTCAAGCAATCATGCAAATTCTATTTGACTGGTAGTTGTGTATGATTACTGAAATGTTGTAAATTTTCTTTTTATTTAAGTATGATACTTTTAAATATGACATTATAGGTAACACTAACCATACAATTTTAAATTATTTTCTGTGGTGAAAATGAATGCTTTATTAGTTTTGGTATAGAAGAACAGCTTTGAATTTCATATTTCCTGATTACTTTGGTTTGGATTGTTTGGTTCAATAAATGTGTGTGAACAAGCAATACAGTGACTTCTTGTAACTTTATTAATTTTCTTTAAAGATTGTATTGTTAATTTTGAATAAAAAGTTTTTAAGGGCACCTTTACAGAAATTATTTCTTATTGAATGGAAAAAGAAAGTTAACAAACTTTGCAGGATTAATATTTTCTGCTGCTCTGTAAAAACTCTTACAAACTATAGGTATTTTTAATTCTGTATAAATCTCTTATCGACATGTATTGGTTTTAACTCGCTGTATTTTTATATTAATTTACTTTCTTTGTTTTTACCGGTTGTTTGGCGCAGATCGCCTTGCTGCTTTGCGCCATAAAACACCAATCAACCAACCAACCAACCTGTAAAAACTCATGAACCTGCCACTTTTTTAAATGTTTTTGCTGGTAAGGGAACAACATTAGAAACTTCAGTAAGAAGAAGAATGAAGTTTTGCTAGTTGCCAAAATTTGAGATTGAAGAAATAATTCAGTGGTTCTGAAAGTTTTGTTCACAGATCACTTGTTTCATTATTATTATTATTGCATCCGTGGACCACAATGGGATCCATATATACCATGCTGGCGATGATTATACATAATTATTCAACTTTTCCTCGATTTCAGAAATAGAACCACTTGAAAGGAGCCTTGAACCAACAGTTTCCACTGACCACAGATGCAGTAGTCTAATATTTTATAAAAAAAAACTGGCTTTTTTAATATTTAAGTCTTTTTAACTAAAACATTTGAAAAACAAATTAAATATGTTTTCTTTAAAAATAATACATATATAATAATTTTAAATAGTTTAAAATTTTGGCATGTTATAACATTCATTGTAAGGAAATGATCACAATTGGGTGAAATTACTTATTTTGTTTGTTAAACCAATGGAAAACACAGCAGTAATTAGTGTAATTAATTGTAATAATAACGTTATTTTGGGTACAGGTGAGATCTTTGTGTTTTGGAGTTAGTGAACCAGGTTTGAATTAGTACAATACCACAAAAGATTCCATGGACTTTTGTGAGTACATTATAAGAGTGAACCCCTTAATGTGAATGGTCTTTGGTAGGGTGCTGCTGATTATTTTTCTTCCCTATGCTTAATAGTTCAAAATTAGGGACTGTGTCAGATAGCATTAAAAGCTTTAACATAAATACAAATTATATTTTTCATTAAATGTTTTTATGTGACTTGCATCCTATTATAGTCATGGACCCACAAGTAATCTGGTGTATAAATAGTATAATATAATGAGTGATAAGTTCACTTACTTTACCCCATGGGTTACTACAGTTGAATGTAAAGCTATAAATAATTTACTTCTACGTCAAAAGCCCACACTCTGGTTTAATTACTTTAGAACCCAATTGACAAGGCGTATTATTCTTATCTATATCTGCTGTTACAATACAAACTGTGAAACTTTCGCTCTCAAAATCGCCCGTTGTGGCTAAACTGACAATCATGCTGTCTAACTTCACTTTTACTTTCACTAACTCATGTATCTGCACGTATTTATAACACACGACAAATAAATCTAAAAATATCTAACCTTTTAGTAAGAACTGTATTAAAATAGCAAGAAAGACTTAGAAGCTTCGAGTAAGATGACGTCAACAATATTACAAAACCCTAGTACAACAATTAAACTACATAAACAAGGTATGACTCGTACAGAGTTATGTAATGAATTTATCATAACTATCACTTAAAATAGTTAACTTTTAGCACTGTTGCTATGAAGACCAAATAATCATTAACTATTGAATCACTAAATAAACTAAGTAATAGCTCTTAAACTAAACAGTCTTGTATATCCAACAACAAGTACATTTCGAAAAGCTGGAAACTTAAGATATAATGATCAAGAAGAACTAGATGAAAAATTATTACATTGTTTTCATAATGTTTAGTGGTAAATTGGAAGGCTTATAATGTCAAAAATTGGGGATCGATTACTTTGGTGGTCACAACACAGATAGCCCATTCTGCAGATTTGTGATAGTAGTTAAAGCTGCACTTGACTGGCATACCACCAGAAGGCTTCACACATAGGTCGACCTCAGGCATGAAAGGGGTTAATACAATAATGTCATCAGAAAAGATGACTTCATAGTTCCAGGAAGTGGAATCATAATCATGATGAGATCATCATGTCTCAATGTGTAATTAATGGCTAAATTTAATTATGATCTACAGTTGGTTTATGTATAAAACACTAATTCATTGGTTGTATATTTAATCATATTTTTTACATTTCTTGACCTTATATATAAATCACTTAACGTTCTGAACTTATAACAATCATTTTACACTCGTTACTTTATAGTTTTCGTTTATATGTGTTTCAAAAAGGTAGATGGAGTTCTACATATACATTGTGTTACTAAGGCAAATTGTTCTTCAGTGTTTCTAAATTACGATTACGTCATCAATACCCTAAATAAAACTATCATAACACTGTTACACGTGTCAGTTTTTATCACACATTCATTTGAACGACACAGATAATTTATAATTATCTGTCATAAAAGAATTTTATCATACCTAATGTTTTAAAATATTGAATACTTTAACATACAGATTATAGTTTTCATTCTATAATTGTTTACATTATATGTCCTGAAAAGGACACTTTTAAAAATACAAACTTTGTAATCACATATAACAGATGTTTCACTAACTTTAATTTTAACATCTAGTTAATAAACTCTGTATCAAATCATTTTGCTACATAATAATTGTGTTTAATAACTATTATAGAGTAGCAACACTTACCATTTTTTCATAAATCTTTGAGGACAAATATAACTGAACTTTCTTCTACATTAGAGATGTAATTTACATCACGTACTTGTTCAAAAGCACAGTGTCAAGTAGGAAATACAAAGTTGAATGTATGTGTATTCTTTCAAACTGACATCATTTACATTGAAAGCATACAATCACCAAATAACACTCCACCCTTATTAGTTCACAGCTAATGGTATGTCGAACATTTACTAAGAAGAGAGGGACTGATAGAAATCAAAGTTAAGTTTGGCCGTTAACATTGTTGATATTCAGTCTGATGACATACGTGTTTGGGAATTTATTTACATACATGATAAACACATTTTTAGAAATGTGGAGTCAAATTGAACGCAAAAATTGTGGTTAACTGAAATGTGTCAATACACATCTAGTGTATTGTAAAGTGAACAGTACATTTTTGTAGAGTTTGAACAGTTTATTTTCAATATTGAATATAATGTTAATACATAGATAGCGACAATTTATTATAAATGACTTCTTCAACTTGTATTTTAATAAAAGTTTTTCTGCCATATTGATCACCCTCTTCTTTTAGTAAAACCATGAGTCAGATATAGTATTGTACATTCAAACAAAAGCATTATCTGTTTTAATTAACACAAAAGGTCAAAAAGCTTTTCTAAACATGACACCTTCCTCTGTATATTTTCTAAAACCAGAATTTATCGATCTGGTCAGTGGTCTTGAATATCAAACATGTATGTCATCAGACTGAATATCAACAATGTTAATGACCAAACTTAACTTTGATTTCTCTCAGCCCCTCTCTTCTTAGAAACGTTCGACATTCCGTTAGCTGTGAGCCAATAAGGGTGAAGTGTTATTTGGTGATTGTATGCTTTCAATTTTAATAATGTCAGTTAGAAAGAACATACATACATTCAACTTTGTATTTCCTACTTGTGGAGCATTTGAGGCATTTTACGCTATTTTCAAATACTTCAATAAAGGAGCAATATAATTCTATAAATACTGTGTATGATATACATACATGCAATATAAAGAAAAATTGGGCACGGCTAATGAATGCATATGAGAAGTTACACAACAATGCTTTATCAAGAAAGGAAATGTATATGTCAAGTATAGGCTAAGGCGCAATTCAAGCAGTACTGAGAATCAACTTTTTACATTATCTTTAAACTGACGCTACTGCAGCAGAGAGAAAGCTATGAGAAAAGTTTATATTAACTTCATTAGAGACTGGACACAACTTTTATAAAAGTAATTAGGAAGGAAATCAGAAACTCTGGGCAGAACTTTGATCTGAAGAGGGCAAGAAGATATACATGCAAATGTGATGTCAATTTACCATCTTCAATCATAACCAGTTGTTGAATTAGTTTTGGTTTTAGTTCAGAGAATTATGATGAGTCAACAAAATTCATCCAGTTAAGTGACAGACCTACTTGAGAGTTGGATGTGTATATTATTTAGAGAATTGTAAGAATACAAAAGAAATCCGTATGAAACCCGTGTTTTAGGGCTAAATTCAGTCTCCTGACTCGAAATAGAAAGCCATTGGTCCTGCTGAGACAGTTTTGCAACTGAATGTTTTACAGTCTCCTGGCTCATATCAAAAAGCCAAAACAACCTGCTGCTGGATGAAGATCTCCAGCATTTCTTGCTTAAGCTCCATGTAAGTAATGATTGCTACCTCTCTCTCAATCAAATAACATAGTTAGAACTTGAATGTATTGTGAATTAATGATGTTATATCTGAGCAGATTTCAAGCAATGTGTTAATTGATAACTTGCTGATAGTTTTAAGTAATTTAATGGATGTTATAGAATGTTTATTTGAAAAACAGTTATCTGCTCAGATTGACGAATTTAATAGTTTTTAAAGTGAAACTTTTCAAGATGCCTTTGGTAATTTTGATGTAGCCGAGTGTCTTAATATATTGCGTTAAAGTGTTGCTTTTGTTTTGAATCTCGGTCTCCGAGCCAATTCTTTATTCTAACAGTAAACTCCTCGAGCTAGTGACTTGTATACTCCACTCGCGACCATACAACCTGGATTCTAAATAAATCTATTGTTAACTGGATTAAGTTGAGCTCCAACGACTAGCCTACTAGACATCCACATTACACTTGACACTGGTTTTGAACACGAATGTCATGTAAGTTACATCTCAAATGTAGAAGACAATTCAGTTATATCTGTTCTCAAAGATTCATGAAAAAATGGTAAGTGTTGCTATTCTATAATAGCGATTAAACACAATTATTATGTAGCAAAATGATTTACTACAGAATTTATTAACTAGATGT